TAGTATTAGTGAAATCATGGTGTTATACTTTTATTGATGCTTTTTGTTTTTCGTATACTATTAACAAGATGTTTGATGACAATAATATTGTCTTCTTGTCTCAGACGTAACTCTATTGGTGCTAAAGTAGGGGCGGCGTAGCGTTTACAAAATTTGGGGCACCAACAAAAAAGGCACTTTCTGGAGAGAGAAAAAAGGGGCACCTACAAAGGGAGATCTCAAAACAAAAATATTAAGGGATTGGTTTACAAATGGCAAACCGTTTTTTTTTTTTTAACTCACTCACCGCACGAGCGCGCACACAAATCACCTTACATAACATAATATCATCTCCTCATCTACATTTTGTGTAGGTGTAAACACACAGCTTGGAGGTTGGATGTGAACAAATCAGATCATCACACAGTCTCTCACACACCCACACCCTTATCACTGCACCCCACATAGGCACATAATTCATATCATATCATCACCAAATTTATTTCCTCTCAAAATACTATTTCCTTTTTCTAAATGGTCTAGACAAAAAAGTACTCAAGTATTTTTCGTTGGAATATCCTTTATCAAATAACTAGAAAATACGCTATTGAATAAGTATGATAATACCACGACTACCCGAAATGATATATAATATATATGCATGATATATACAGTTTTCCTGTATTTCAATTACACTTTAAAATCAATCTACAAAAATAGATTTCAGGGAAGTTGCATTTACATATCTGGCAGTCTGGAGACATCCCTGTCAGTGATAACATAAATGATACATTAGAGCAAACACAAGGAGGGCAAAATGATATATTCAGTATTCTGATATTTCTTAAATTTATATGAAACAATGCTTGCGTGAAATATTTTGCTATTTGTAAATAGAGAACCAGCATTTAGGTATAGATGTTTGGTCCATTGCTTTTTCAATTCAATTCAATTTATTAATTTCATAAAATACAAGGATATAATATATTACACTCTAAAAACTGAAATGTTAAATCACCATTTAAAAGGGCCGAGGAGTGACCACTCTTTCAAAATGGTAGATTAACACTTTGAACATGCTGGATCCAACACTATAAAGGTTGAATCTATCAGGATAAAAGTATCAATCTGACATTTTGAAAGAGTGGTCACTCCTCGGCCATTTTAAATGGTGATTTAACATTTAAGTTTTTAGAGTGTATAAATTTGTGCATAGGAATTCGCATTAAAAAAGCCAGTGGCTTGGAATAAAACACAGCGATTGCCCTTACAATCATAGTAATGAGGAAAGCGAATACAAAATACAAAGAAAGCACAAAACAAAACTTAGCATCAAAGTCAGCCATTTTTGATAAAAATCGACTTTGGAGCAATTTCTGGTGAATCAAACTATCTGGTGCATAGATGATTGAAGCAAAGTCTAATTCAAATTCAAATAATTGACTGAAATCAACCCTGGCATGATAGGATAACATAATTATCAAATCAAACAAACAAAAGAAAACAGAACGTACATTAATATACTACTACTGCATAGAAACATATCATTAAATAACTCAAGAAAACAAAGGAAAATTGTATTTAGACTATGTACACAAGGTCGCCTTACGTTCAATAAAATGTAGTGATATCGCTTTTATCACAATCAAAACAAAACGCAATCAGGGCAAAAGGAGAATGTAGACTATATAAATAGAAACCTCAACAAAACAAAAAATTACAATATTCAAACAAAAGAATACCGTTTCTCTTTGACTCAGAGCTGATATAAACGGTTTCATAAAACATAACACTAATATTGCAAATAAGGTTAGCTTTTCTTTCGTATCGACCTTTAACATAATTTTCACAATTGTCCTTGTTCGGATTCAGCATCACCATGTCATCATGTTACTTTACATTTCAATTACATCTTCTGGCTTGCTATGAATTTTTGGAGTTAATAGGAAATATTCATCAGCACCCCCGACGAGAAAGGCGCTTCGGGCCAGGTGATCGATGCCTTCTTCTAAACTGATAACTATCTACACACATGCTCCGAAGGATAGATTTTTGTTATGGGGTTGGGGGCTTTAGAAAACGCACATGTTTTAAACAAAAACGGGAAATGTGGGTAACAAATGTGCACTTATTCAAGGGAGAGGGGTGTTGTTCAGAATGAAAAAAGGGATATCCATTAGTAGGGGAGAAGCTACGGCACGAATCAGAGATTTAAAAGAGTGCCCGAGAACCCCATTACAAGAAATACATTTTCACAATCAAAGGGGTCAATTTGGGTTATTTGGAAACGTGGAGGGGCATGATTTTCTACCCCCCCCCCCCGCCCGTCGGAGCGGTGCTTCCGCTTCTTTCTTGGAATAACTTTTGTCATTAATGTTATTGTTATTATTATTATTTTCAACGTTATTATTATTATAAGGATCCACATTGCTTTACATATTGAAAAAGTCAATCTTTTGGACAAAATTTGTTTGAAAGAAATCGTGTTGGCCAGTGATATGGAAAGATATTTATACTTAAATATGAGTACATATAATAAAGGAGAAACTTTAGATTTGAACTGATTTAAACGATGAAAAAACACCTGCCGCCTCCACTCACAGACACAACCACATCCTCACGCCGTTTGATACCACGTTTGGGAGACCCGATAAAATAGATTACAGATATTCATTCCTATAATAAATATGTGTTTTCAATCAATGTTATTTGATGTCTGCCCCCAGGCTTCTTGCAGCCATGGAGCAGCAAAATTCAATTCGGTTACCCTTTTTTTCTAATAAGGGACCTTTCCCTTTGTAGGTGCCCTTTATGTTGGTGCCCCCACCACTTTGTAAGTCGCTCGGCCACCCCTGATTATAGGGAAACCATTATACATGATTTATTCCTAATAGATCTAGATAATAGTATACATTCTCAGATTTTATTGAATAACAATTTTAGTGTGTTTGTTTTGCGTGACTGCTAAAGCATGTGTGGGTTACTATGCTAATAAACTACGGGATATACGTCCTTAAGTCATAACTGACAGCAATGAGTATTAATGCCTTACAAAAGGGCACTAATATAGCACATCGACACGGTTTTGATCCTAGGGGCTCACAGTATTACGAGGCCATTGCTTAGCCACCGAATCTTGACTGTACGCAGCGGGGGCTAGGGTATGGGGCCACCCCCACAAATACAAAAACAAAAATAAATGCAATAAATCATCGATAATTCATTGCATTTTGCCCCGATCCCCAACATTAAAAGAAAAATCTATTTGGGGGCATGCCTTGAAGCATAATGCATGGTCCTACAGAGGAATTTTTCCTGTTGGGGACCGATTTTGCCCCTATCCCCAACATTTACAAAATTCCTCTATGTGGGCATGCCTTGAACCATAATGCATGGCCCTACAGGTGAATCTTTTTTGTGTGACATGTAGACCCATCAATTCGACAATATATTCAATATCTCACACTGCACTTTCCCTCTCATTCCTTTCTTTCCTTTTCTCAGCTTTTCTGTCTTTCTTTCTTGTCTCTCTTCTCGCCTCTTCTATCTGACATCAATTTTCCTCTTTCAATTGTACAGTGTATCTACCATCTATATGTACATGTACTAGCATACCGATGTCTTCTTGGCATGCATACTATTGTTTCATATGTTATGTAACAGTACTAAGCACAGGTGAAATATTTATGTCTAGTACAAAGCAATGTTTTGAATGAATTTGTATATGCATCATCTCACACTGAGCTGTTCCTCTCTTCCTTCCTTCCTCTCTCTCTCACTCTCTCTCTCTCTCTATTTTTCTTTCTTCCTTTCTCCATGTCTCTCTTTCTCTCTTCTTTTCTCTCTCTTGTTTCTCCTCTTTGACTCGGAAATCCAGAATATGATGTATGATTAATTTAGGTCTGCTTTGATTTTAGATCTTGGCTGTGATTTGTTCTATATATATATGACATTGATTGTTGTCATGAACATTTTATAGAATATATTTAAGTTAGTATTGTCTGTTGGGAGCCAGGGGAGTACAAATAATACAAATAATTCCTCAGGCTCTCAACAGAGGCATTAAATAATATTACATTGTTATGTTATTTATGTTATTTGTTGTTATTTGTTCATGATTATGTTAATATATTGTCATATTTTATACAAATGTGAGTCGTAAGACGATTTTTCTGCCTTCAATTTATTTGTGCAATTCAATTCAATTCAATTCAATTAAAATTCATTCAATGAAAACCTTACATATTAGGTGCCCCTTTTTGCACTTGCAGTACATGTTTCTATTTGTTGATCCAACTATCGACCCGTTACAACTACTTATTACTGACAAAACAAGATTGGCTAAGTAAATAAGTAATATAGGCTGTTCGGGGAAGCCAGAGCTTAAATAGCTAAGGTTTTTAGATGTCCCTAATAATCAACACGTTTTTCCAAATCGAAACTATTCTGTGCTACACAAATTTGTAGCCCTATGGAGTGCAATGAGGAAAGTTTCCCCCAAGACTTCGATTATGATTTATTGGTTTCTGCATCTTTTTTCCATCATACATTTTCACGAACATAATATGGTTTGATACAATATTTTAAGTGTATATAATTTTATACAGATAATAAACGAAATTAAACAAATATATTAAATGTATAATTAACATGCATTAGATGCAGGAGGGCTACAGAATTAGGCAAAGTAGCTTGACGTGCCCGCATCCCTCAACTTAGATACAACAATAACAAATAAAAAAAGAGTGTGACTTGCAGAGAAGAAAAGGAAAGGGGAGAAAAGGAGCGTTGGTAATAATACAATAAATCTCATACATCTGCTGATTGAATGCAGGTTCATTCATGAATGGATAAGCGACGCTAGGTCATGGACGATTACACATCATTGTTGAATATACAGTCAATGTACACACGAACATGAATACAGTAAAATTACACACGACAGGATCAATACTTAGACAATAACATAGTTTTAACTGCCTTCCTAAAATGGATACAATGTCCTAAGGTTTCTTATTACAATGGGCAGAGAGTTCCAGATGTCTGGGCCGGCGTGTCTAATGGATTTGAGAGCCAATGCGTTTTTTTTTTTCTTAAATAGAATTTGTCAGTTTGCCTTGTAGGGTAAGAGTGGATGGTTTTATTCAAATTAATTATTGCTCGAAGTCATATATTCCCCCAAAAATAAGTAGAAACAAAGAATAAAACAAAGTAAATCTACTAGTCGGCATCAATATAAATGTTTGGCCTGTTTAAAACTTAGAGTCTCATAAAATCTCTGGGGGCTATTTTGTTTGAAATGTTTTGCCTGTTCAAAATGACCTTTTTTTCTTGGGTAGCACAAAAAACGAATAATTTTGTTTCCAAAGCTGTTTTTCTACAATCATTTTCTCTGCGCAGTTGTTGGCACTACAGTGTATTTGTTTTCTTCACATTAAAGGATCAGTTTGGTATCACTGTAGAGGTCCTCATTTCTCGTTACTGTGGCATTTAAATTTTGAAAGCCGAAATTGGGAAACATTCCTCAAAAATGCAGCTACAGAGGTTCACATTTTGTGTGCGAGAAGATGTGGAAGTGGCATTCCAAGCAGGTCGAATCGTTTCACGCGCATGGACCGATCTCTTTCAAACCACTGTCGAGGCCGTGATTGGTCAGTTCGTCAAGCTCTTATGGATTCGGGAGTGGCCAGTCAAAAGTGCGGTTGCAGTCGCCACGTGAACGGTTTAAATAAACACATGTGCAACACCGGAATGGGGGTTGTAGTGGGAGGTTTGATTGTGCCGTTTGATCCAACAGTCGTTTGATTAAACGGCCTGGAGAGACGAGGCAATAATTTCCAAAATTCGAACCCAGTTATCTGATCATCACTATTTTTGGAAAAACAAATCACAAACTCCAAATTGTCAGCTGGTGGTGACATGTTGCTATTTTTTCTTTCTATTTTTTTAGCATTTTGACCAAGACCATTTACCGTGTACAATCAACATAATAATTTTTTATTCGCACCAATACGCCTCCAGGTTTTATTTTGTCCAAAGGTTTAATACGCACATACTTAATAGTCACATGTAACAGATAACATTCCACTTAAAACTCAAGCACTAAATTTTACGAATAATAAGCCATTTTCTGAAATTTGCCATAAATTGATAGAATTGCCACGAGCTAAAACACAAGGTTGTTTTAAAATTGTTTCAGTATGAATTGCGCTTAAATGCAAAAATCTGACAGAGCCAACCGTTTACTTAGTAGGTTTAGATCATGTGTAATTGTGCATTATTTAATTAATTAATTATTCAATTAATTAAGAGTGTTGCAACATCGCAACATAGTGGTCCATCCTGCAGGTTGTGGTTTTGGTCCATAGGTTTAATACGCACATACTTAATGATCATATGTTACAGATAACATTCCACTTAAAACTCAATCACTCAATTCTACGAATAAAACTCTACTAAATTCTACTAATAAAACGCGATTTTCCAAAAATTACCATAAACTGCTAGAATTGCCACGAGCTAAAAAAACATTATAAACAAGAGTATTCCAGTATCAATTGCGCTTAATAGAAATGCAAAAAAATGACGGAGCCTAACGTTCACCAAGTAGGTTTCGATCATGTGTAATTTTGCATTAATTAATTAAGAGTGTTGCAACATCACAGTTGGAACGTTGGAACGTTCAGACCATTCAGTTTACCTCCTCGATTGTTCCCGAAGTGAAAAAATCCACCTCGCACTGCATACCCTTTTGGTAGATGTCCATGGCCTTCGGTAGATCCACGCCAAACTTCTCGGCATTCTCGTTGACGTAAGTCGCGAGTTTATGGCTGCCCCCCAGGTTATCCTGTATCCAGAAACTGTACACGTTGGTGTCGTTCTATAATTGCACAAAAAAAATACTTAACATCAAGACCCATAGTTTTGGACAAATCATTATACAGAATTTCGTTTAGTTTTCAAATATGAATGTTTTTTTACCCGGTTTATTTGATGGCGGTTTGAGTTTTGGTTGGTTCGATAAAAAAAAAACTTGTTTACATCACAACAATTTTAACTTCAAGACTTCCATCCGGCTTCAAAAATAAATACTCAATCAATTAATTATTGTTTTATTTTCATCAGGATAAACAAACAAAACATGTCTTCGTGAGGGTTACCCTGTCTGCCCAGAGTTTGAACAGAACGAAACGAAACTAGTAAGCATGTAAACAATCGGACATAAAATATGACGTAGTTACGGAGCAATACAGCAGGGGCCGTGTGCAAATTGTAAGGCGACCAACCCCTAGAAATAGCTGAATACGCTAATCCATAAAGCCCCGCCCCTATATGAACTGACCAATCACGACCGCGACTATGGTCCGACAGACACCGTTCCATGCGTGTGAGTGCGTGTAAAATGCGGCTGGGATTGGTCATTAAGAAATGGGGCGGGGCTTAATGGATTTGGTCTATTCTTACTATGCCTGATTCGATCTGCTGGGAAAGCCACTCCCACAGCTTCTCACACGGCAACATGGCGATCAGCAGGTAAAACGGCTCCTCCTTTGTAGCCACGTCCAGCTCGAATTTAGAGTAAGAGGCAGCGGCGTCTCCCATGGCAATCCCTTTCGGGTCCTGGATGTACCACTCTTTGAACATTATCTCCGTGTACCTTCAAATACAATCATGAGCATACACGCTAAATACATTATGATTGAAAATAACCGATATACACGCTTAATACAGGTTGGTTGAAAAAGCCAATATATAGAGGAACTTCAAATTTAAGAAAATAGCACCAATCTGCACAGTGCCAGGTTTGAAACCGAGGTTCTCAGTGTCTAAGGTATTTAAAAGACAATACTAATTTTTAAATTCTTTAAAAAACCAAAGGACTTGAAAAAAGCTTTTAGTGGGAAAATAACGACAATTAGTTGGTCGAATCGACTTAAGTGATTGCAATCACCTAGTTTCCAGACCTTTTTACCGAATGGTAGTACGTTTTGTGCTGCACATAGATTCAATCGGTTTAATTTTGGCAATTACAAGTAGAGGGTTATTGATGTAGACAAATGCTCATGTACCTGTTACACCTCATTTTATGTATCTGATTACCAAAGAAAAAAAGCCAGTCAGTCACTCAATAGTGTCTGTCAGTGAAGTCGAGAAAGTAAAAGGGTTTCCTTGCATAATTTGAATACAAGGACACTGATAATGTTTAAATTTCACAGACAGGACATACATGACATATTGATAATTCCTGCAAAGTTCTACAGAATTTGATTTTGGCTGCAAAGGGACATAGTACTGCGCTGCCACTTATGATTCATTCAAGCATAAATTGTGTTGAAAGAACTGTGAGCCTCGTTTTCAACTCGAAGTGCGGGGCTAATGTGAAATTCGTCTTAAGTAGGATTGGTAGATGTGACCATTATGTGACCAACCAACTCACATGGTTTCACAGGCAGGCACCCAATTAGGTTGAGTGCACAATAAATTACGCTGCTTAAATTTCCGTTACCATACAGAATTTGTGCTGACGCATTCGTTCAATAGGTACTAAAAGGTGTTATAACGTTTCGATAAGATGACTGTCTGTTCCCCGGGAGGGGGTGCAAAAGGTGTATGCTTATCCTCTGAATTTACCCATGATCATCGATCGCCTTCGCGGGGGTGTGAGAAGTGAGAACATTTCATGAATCAGAGAAGACTGCAGGCAGATCATCGTTTCAGACTATACTGGCTATACTGACTATATATCCACTGCCGAAGTGGATAAGCTGTATTTTCACCTGATCCACATAATATCCTAGGTAGAACTATGGATCCTTGCGCTCGATATCCATAGGTACAACCTAGGCCAGTGCCGTCTCCCCGTCTTTAGTGACGCAGGATCCAAGGTCTAACCAGGGAAACTGGTCTCCGTATAGCAGCATGTACATTACGCTGCTATTGCTTACCACCGCGTTGTCAAGCGGTGGATGGAAGCATCGAAAACACAGCCAGAGCTCCAGCGCCGGAAATCGCCGCGCAGTGCACCCCGATAGCCTGGGCTGGGCGACTCGCTGCCAGCGCTGGTCATGAATTGGCCGGCAGGGCATTCAGTGACCTGTTTTCATGTCGACTTGGGAGGTAAAAAACCTCATAAAGACCGCGTTTTTCTGTGTTTTATTGAGCAACATCGCTACTATCCCAGTGGTAAGTCTTTAGTCACCATTTTGTATAACCTAGATATAAAATAAGAATATAAACAACTGTAGAAGTGGAGATTATCCACCTCCAATAAAATGTGATTTCGTGGACAATCGCATCCCGGCCCGGCCCAGTGCGGTGCCAGTGCAGTTTGGGCAAGTTGGGTAACAAGAAATAAGAAAATAAGGCAAGTGGTAATGATCTGGGCCTTGTGCTAACAATAACTTTAACGCCAGTTGCAAAATGACGATGGACCAGTCTAGATCATTGTTGCATGCACAAATTGTTCAATCTGCTGACCATTAACCAATCAGAATATATGCAATCGAACGCAAAACTTAGTGTTACTGTTAGTGTTACAGGGCCCAGATATTTTTCTTGTTACTCAGAAACCTTGGAGTAGTACATTTAAATGTTGCATTGTGTGTACTTGTATTTGTGGGTTACTGGAGTGGTAGCATAGCTTATGGACTATCGACGTATACACATCAACATTGTATGGCCATAGGCCTACATTTTGATGTTTATTTGTAATGCGTATCGACTTTCAGACTGCGAAGTTAACTTTTCAATGCAGAACTATATCCGAGTCAGAATAATAAGTAGGGGGGAAACGGCTTCTTTCTTGGTGCAGATTGTAGATAAAGAATGATTCAATGTTACAGACTTTCTAGGCCTACCTCTAGACTGCACTTCTTTTTTAAATAATGGGGCATTTGCATTAAAAACTGTTTGGCACCTTGGTAATCAGCAAACAACAACTCTGGATTCATGATGATCTGGAAAGTTCCCAAAGAGCTTTGATTAAAACTTAAAAACATATTTGGATAAAGATCTCTGCATTTACATATTGATAAAACACTTTTGCGACTCAACAAGAGCTCCCATAAGCAAAATGGTAATGCTTACTTTATTCCTTGCCTTTTATAGTACACTTCTGTAGGAAATCACCACATAGCTTTCTTTTGTGCATAAAGTCCTATAGCTAACCCAGAAGTATGAATAACGGCATACAAAAAATGTATTAGATTTACTATGCACAGATGATGATTCAGGTACAGTTATTTTTGTAATATATGCGGTTGACATAGGCCATAATTTACACAGCATTTTAAAGAGATAAATGTGCGTACATGCACATGTAGTTCCATGAATAGGACCCCACATACATATTGCGTACATGTAGCTTGTCAGGTTATTTTCGTTTGTTTCAATATTGTGACAGTAAAGCAATCTGCACAAGCGGGTACGTGCATGTGACATGGACAGAAAAGATATATGTGTACATTCACTTGTATTCACCTGTCTTCTCAGGCTTCTTAGTAAGATAATGCCTTGTAATGCCCACCCATGGCTCATCAAAAATAGCACTGCAATGGTTTCATTGAGATACACCTAGGTCTATCTCTATATATTATATATATTATATATATTGGTAGAATTTGTGTCCAACAGGTGCATAGTGATGATCATGATAATTTTTCAAAAGTATCAAGCTATATTTTGCCTTCTGCTGTTTTTTTAATTATTACTTTAAAAATTAGTTTCAAGCAACCATACTGCAATCTATTAAAATATGGATATAATCTTGCAAAGTCTTAAGGTCTTAATTAGAGAACATAGGAAAACAACAGATTACATCACTCAAATATGGACATTGCTTAATAAGGGATCCACATGTAGCCATGAGAAATGTAGAAATAATAACCATCACAGATAATAAGTGTCCTGATGAATTTTTTATTCGTCCACTATAAGTTATCATTTCATGATTCCTGGAATTTTTATTCAAATTAAATGACATATATCTTTTATCTTTTGTTTTTTTTTATTTGACAGAGCTACCAATGTTATAACCTCCAACACTGTGAGGCACATGAACCAGAGTTCTGAACTTCTGAGTGGACCCAACGAAATGCCGGTTTCCCGTCGAGACAAACATGGGCCAGGTGGTTTTCCTCGCTGTGGTGGATAACACAACAATGTCAACATTACCTAGTGTCCAGAATTCCAGATGGCCTTTGCTGTCTCCTTACCTGCTCAATCTTGCTGTGATTGATACTCAATTTCCAGCCTGTCGTATCACATCAAGTGTGTCAGCACAGTCATGTTTGAGGAATCTTCCTTTGAACAAAAAATGGCATTTCCACTTACATGTAAGTTCAACTGTGAAGAGAGATGAAGCATTTTTATGCTGTTGGATCCGAAATTCTATTTCCTTGTTGCATCGATCATAGAAAAGCAGTGCATATCATCCTCTGGAATGACTAAACAGTGCATCAAACTTGTTCAGAAAAAAGACACGAAAAACTACTTATGGCCTGAGTAACACCAGCTATGTTGAAACATTTAGGTTATGTCACCTTCAATCCTGAAACAAACAGGCAAGATGATATGCCACAAGTTCGAAAGATCATTGCCCAACTTGAAGCTTCTTCAAAAGCCCTGGATTAATATCACTGTGGTATCAATATCTTGATACAGACCCTCTCATTAAACTTTCTCAGACTATGTTAAATCTTCATACGCAAACTACAAAAAGGTAAACAGTATATGATAGGACCAGGTGGGGTAACCTCCCCACTCTTCTCTCTCTCTCCATCTCTCTACTGTTTCATTATCCACTTTAATTGCCTTTCTCTCCCCCTCTCATACCTCAACTAATACTTGTTCTATCTGGTTAAGATTTACAACCACATGTTTTTATCTATTTGAATTGGTTCTTCAATTTAGACTTGTGAATTACTTGTACAGTCAGATAAGGTATTGTTCAACTGTATACTCTCTCCATTCAATCTATATATATATATCTCTCTCTCTCTCCTTCTCTCTATTTCTTCAGATCTCTGTTCTCATTTTAACCTTTGATAAAATGAATATCTGTAATCAAACCTTATTAATGATTTTTTGACAGATTAAACCATTTCCCCATGAAGTTGCTATTTCTAATTAAATTGTGTGTTATTGTTCTTTCCATCTTTCTCTCATTGGTCTTTCATCCTTGGTATCTCCATCTCTCTCCACACCACCCCTGTCTCTCACACACATACATCCTCTTGTCATTATTGTATCCTCTTTCTGTTTCATCTGTTTTATTTCAATTAAATAAAAACTTGGTTCAAAGGTCTTACATTGTTTGATTACGAAAATTAAACCATATTTAATGGGCATTATGTTGATGATAGTTTGTATTTATGCGTATCAGTTTTACCAGCTTTCTTGTGCAGCAAGCCTTGTAGTTTGGTTATTTGCATCGTCTTCTATAGAAGGTGTAAAATTATTGTTCATATTCAATTGTACTTGGAATGATTTTTATTCTTGTTTACATGTACGGTAGATGCACAGTCAAACAAGTCCATAGTGCATTACAGTGGCAAATTAATTTATGCAACCATGTAACTCTATGCATGAATTAACAGCTGTGGAATTCCAAATTATGATCTTATCTCATGATTTGATTTTCAAGAAAATTGATCATTC